CTTACACTGGCCCACGGCTGAGGATCCACACCAGTTTGCATAAGGTAGGGAGATTGGGTTTACCTTAAAAAAAATAAACATTTTTTGGAGTGTGTATGTGAATGTCTATGAGTGTGTGAGATTGTGTCTGTGGGTGTGCATGTATGTCAGTGTTTTTGAGGGCCCGTTCACACTAGTACAGTGCGTTAATTGCATAGTACTGTGCGATTAACGCACCGTCCCACGCAATTGCACCTACCGCGCATTCTGGTGTGTTGCGTTGCCATTCATTTGAATGGTACCCCAAATGCACCTCCCACCCACAGTTTGTAAGCCCGCACCGGAAGGCTCGGCACCCTACTGCTGTGCGTTCCATTGCACTACGACTTGGGTCGCGACTTAATGACCAAGGACAAATGTGAGTCCTGAGATTACACAGGTTGACAACCACTGATCTACTTCAATCATCACCCCGTGTCAAATCTACAAATACTATTTGCTAATAACCTTATATTAACTGCAATACTATGTGTACAAGCCACTTCATTCCTCAAAATGTAACATAAAATATATATTCATACATATTCACATATTTCTACTGATTGAACGGGAGCCATCTGTTCATGTGTTTCCTTTACCCAATCTCATCCATGAGTTTCACACTTAACAAGTGAACTCATGGTGACGATTGTCACTCATTTGTGAAGAATTTCCCAAGTCTAATTGATTAGCAGGTTATAGGAGTATCTTGTTTACCATCAACATCTGTAGCTCTTTTTAAATGACATACATCTCCTTAAAGAGGAACTTCAGGATTTTTTCCAAATAAACCCTTGTAGTGGGGCTAACTTCTCGTTTTGGTCTAGGGACAAAAATAAAGACGATATACTCACCTTATCCTCAGTCCAGTCTGGCAGCTAGACCAGTCCCTACAACCTCTTCTCCCCCGGGCCCTGGCCGTCTAAGGACCTGTGACGTCATCTTGTCTAATGCAAGCCCATTAGACATAAGGATGACGAGGGACGTTCCAGAGCGGGATCGGAGGGGGGAGAGAGGTGACTGCTGTGGGACCGAGGATCAGGTGGGTGTATCTTTTTTTTTCCCTCCCTAGATCAAAATGAGCATTTAACCCCTTGCCGTGCAGGGGTAGAACCCCTGCAAGGGTTAATTTAAAAATAAAAATGGAGTTCTTTAACTACTTCAGTACCAACGTACATTTATAAATACAGTACCAAAGTGGCTGATACCAACAGCAGTCGTGATCTTGGTATAGTTTTCGATTGGTTGGATGACTGCAGAGCCGGCTATTCGGGCACGCTTGAAAAAAGTCTGTGAAGTAAGCTGAATTGGAGAATGTTTCCAATTCAGCTATTTCGGCCTAGATTGTTCACTTCTCCTACCTTTTCCAAACTCTTCACCCTTTTGTGAATAACCCTGTATAAATATATTTTCTTTTCACATTAAATGTAATGTAATACGGCATTATGGCCACTAGATGGAGTAGAGGGGCATAGGAAATAAATACTTTTACTCTCGCTTGAATGTCATGTAATGTCACATTATGGCCACTAGATAGAGCTGAGGAGCATAGGTATATTTCTAAGCTACTCAGTTCCATCTAGTGGCCATATTACTGTATTTCATTACATTCAACCTGGGCAAAAGAAAGTATTACATCACATTACATTCAAACGGAAAAGAAAATATACTAAGATTTAGTTGTTGCCTTTATTTGCACAGAACGAATGTTCACAGAGAATCGCAGGATGAATGGCTGTGCAAATTGTTTATAACTTAGTAAGGTGGACGGTGGAAACCTCTTTGGAACTTGTTTATAGCTTGACCCCTTACTGTCTTTTCACATAATTACCATCTGAATAAAAAAAAAAATAAAGCTATAAAGACTTCAGAAGACTGTACAGAGGTGCAGTACTTATCGGTATATTTACCCAGGGTCTGATGACATTTTCTCCAGAGACTGAAATGTAGATAAGGCTTTTTAACTCGCGTTCATGTATTAATGTATTCCTTGTTAAGTGATAGAATATTCAGTTTGCCTGTAGTGTTCATATCATCTAATAGCACTAGAGCTTAAATGATTTCTGAGAAAAATGACAGCCTAACTTGCTGAGAGATTTCTAACCTCCAGCACAATGATACTGTATTTATATTCCTCGCTCACTATTCCATCAGTATATGTTGAACATATTCTCTGTAACCTTGAGGGCCATTCACATTTCACATCATATCGTGTTAATCAATAGCAATAGCACGCTATCGCAAAATGAAACTAGCGTGCGTTACAATGCACTAAATGTGCTGTGCTGTCATTCATTTTAATGGGACCCCAGTGCACCTCCCAGCCCAATACTGTGCTTTGTGTTGTGGTGGAAAAAAGTAGCGCATGCACTATTTTGTTTTCTTCATAACACAACACACAGGGGGGAATTTATCAAAACTGGAACAGCTGTGCATGGCAACCAATCAGCTTCTCTCTTCAGTTTGTTCAGTTAAGATTTGAAAATGAAAGAGAGAAGCTGATTGGTTGCCATGCACAGCTGTTCCAGATTTTGATAAATTCCCTTTTCAGTACCGCACGCTGCGTTGGGTTGCACCAGGTGGTGCGTTGAGGTGCCACTTAAATGAATGGTAAGACAAAGCACTTAGTGCACAGTAGGCTTGGGGAAAGCTACAACCCCTATCTGGTGAAACTGTTGTCAGTCGGACAGGAAGTAGTAGAAGAAGGTAAATCTGTCTGATCTTTTCATGTCAGCATACCTATAGATGGAGCTGTCCCATGAGGAGGCCAGGAATGGAAATTTACGGTAAGTATAAGATAACAATTTTCTGTAATTTCTGTCTGTGTCCCTGCTGCAGACTTTCCCTCACTTCCTGTCTAGTGAAACTATTGTCCGTGGGACAAGAAGTGAAGGTAAACCTAATGGAGGCCTGGACCACGGTGAAAAAGGGGTGCTAACACTTCCCCGCTCCATCTGAAATAAAATGCCTATATTTTGGCCTAACACACAATCAAAAGCAGTACAATTATTTCAGAAACCGTAAACACTGACAGGTTCTGCTTAAAGGAGAACTATGAGGTGAGTGCTTTTCACTCACCTCATAGTTCTAGCCGACCTGTGACAATGAGACTGTCACAGGCAGGATCAGTAGATCGGGAGGTGAGCGAACACATACCGGCGTTCGCTCACCTCTCGATCCTGTCACAGCTCTCTGCCGTGACAGGGGAGGGACTGGATTCCCCCCTCCACTCTCCGATCCGCCAGCGCTGACTGGCGGAATGGACGGGGGAGGGGGCGGGTACAGCTGGCTCTGCCTCTAGATAGGCAGAGCCAGCTGTCAGTCATAATGTCGGGATGCGCTTCAGCTGCGGCGTCTCAGTATACTGCGAGCAGGAGCTTGCGGTATACTGCGGCGTCTCAGTATACTGCGATCGACAGCTCGCGCTATACTGAGCCTAGGGTGACGGGAGGATGCTAGTTTGTGTCCTCCCGTTACCCTAAGGAGAACTGTGGGGAAAAGCCTTAACCCCATAGTTCTCCTTTAAAGGGCATTTCACAGCATAGAGCAGGGGTAGGCAACCTTGACACTCCAGCTGTTGTGGAGCTACAAGTCCCATGAGGCATTACAAGACGCAGGCAGCCACAGGCATTCCCAGAGGCAGAAGCGTGCAGACGCCCTAACATATAGCATCCAGTCACATTTAGAAAAAGCAACCTGTCAAAAAGCTGGTTTGTAATTGGTTATTTTGTGTAACCGCATATATCGCTGTCGTTGGCCTCATTTATGAAAAATGTCTTAAGTGGTGAATAGTTACTTTCTGTTATCCCACAGTAACCAATCAGGTTCTCCGTTTATAGTATAGGACAGGGGTAGGCAACCTTAGCACTCTTGCTGTTGTGGAACTACAAGTCCTATTTGGCATTGCAAGACTCCCAGTCACAGACATGACTCCCTGAGGCAGAGGTATGATGGGATTTGTTTTTTCAGGTCTGCTAGAGTGCCAAGGTTACCTATTCCTGGTATAGGAGAATAATATAAACAATCCGATTGCTATGGATCAGCGCAGACTGAGACAATACTTCTCTTAACTTTATTAAAGTAAGGTATACACAATTCTTGATGAACCAGCTGAAATTTGCTGCATGGGTGCCACTGTCAGCACCCTTCTGCCCGGCATCCCTCGATCAGCTGATTGAAGGAGCAGGTTGGAAAATACGGCTTCAGCTGCTAGTTCCATCCGTGCATACTGACAGCGGCCACTGTCAGAATACAAAGGAAACAGCGGGGGATTCGTCCATTAACACTCATAAGCGTTGATGGAGGAGTCTGTTCAATTTCAAATTAGAACCATGTATATCCGGCTTTATTGTGGACAAATTTTAATAAACCCAAATAAGCTGAAAATTATGACCCTCTATTCCAGAGGTAGGCTGGGTAGGGTTTCAGTACAGCTGGGGTGCTGAAGTTGCCTACCCCTGCCTTAAGTAACAGTTAGCCAACTCTTATACATAAACCACACAAGGTCAATTTAAATAGGAGAAGGCATCCTTCTTATAGTAAACCTTCGAGCTATATCTAGATCTAATTATTTCAATGAGCTTCCATTTGTCATGTTATATGTCATTTTAACAACGTAATGAAAGCTGTTCTCCCTTTGCTTTTGGGGAGGCCTGGACTTTGTAAAAATGAGGTCACGTTATGTGCATTTGTTGCACTTGGTAAGCACGGAGAATAGATGATGCTCTATAATAGTATATGACACACAAGACGAGTACCTGTCCAAAATATTGTACGATAAATATAAATGTGCCTTTTCCATACAGTCATTATTATACATAATCAAACAGAAAGCAAGCCATTCCCCATGAGGAATAATTCAGATATAATTAGCTGAAAGCAATCACATTCTGTAGCAGTACATAAAGCGTAGCCATTATTTCTATAAAAAGAAAAATACGTGAGCCATATTGTAATGGCTAAATGCTGTCATTAGCACTCACCATAAGAACATGCTGTTCATGACTCCGGTACAGCTGCAGACTTCAGAGGATACAGCGGATGGGGGATCAGCACTTCAATAGTCTACATAGCTTACATTGCGTTAAAAAAAAAAAAGCATCAACTGTTATCTGGAGTTCCCCGTCTTCCTTGTGCTGAATTTAAAAAAAAATGGTTTAAGAGGGTTCCTATTGTCTGGCCTCTGATTGGAGAATTACAAGCAAATCTCGGCAAGGCTGTTTCATTCATATGATAATAGCGGTTTTCATTGCACCATCTGCAGACTGAGCTGGCATTTGCTGCTCTCCCCCTTTCTGGTTCTGAGCATGCTCTGTCTGCCACCGATGTCCTATCGCTCTCACTGGCTCACCTCAATTTGTTAGTGTCCCAGAGGTCATCGTTGAATGCAACATGATTTGCTGCAATGGCTCCGAAAATTCCCATATGGCCTAAAAAAAAAAAAAAAAAAGACAAAGCAGAAAAGGCAGCGTTTGTAGAGCACGCCGGAGGAAATACAAGAAGCAAGAATAGAATTTGTGCTGCGAAGTTGTTTAGTGATTTATATTCACTGTTTTTTAATCGGTATTCAGCATGCGCTGAATTCAGAAAATTATTTGTTACAGGCATTGATATGGCGGCGACAAATTATGCTGCATTGTATGTTCACATAAGGCGATGTCATCATCCCTATTCTCACATATACAATAGAGGGGAGCCAATTAACCTACCAGCATGTTTTTGGAATGATGGAGTTTAGAAACCCACGCAAGCACATTGAGAACATGCAAACATGCAGATACTGTCCTGGATGGGATTCAAACCTGGGACCCCAGTGCTGCAAGGAAGAAGTGCTAATCACTAAGGCACTGGGCTTAGCAAATCAAGGGGGAGGGTGCACTTTCTACTTGACAGTTGCTACAAAGGGTATGACAGCTGCCTGTTCTTGAAAAGACTGCCGAGTCTACTAGATCTAATCTCCACTCAGCAGCATTCCTCCCAAAAGTGACATTGCCGAATACGTGATACAGAACAATTCCACAGACCGGAAAATTTCTATAGCTCTCCTGTTATATTTTGTGTGTGTAGAAGAATGTTCATAATACAGTTATGTTCTGAGTGTGAAAGAACCTAGATTTGTAAGGCCTAGTCTTTTTAATAAATAAATGCTTCATTTATAAAACTTGCACCCAGCACTAGCTCACTTAGAGGGCGCTGATAAGTATAGGAAATATACTTGTATGCTCCAACTAGGGGCACTAGTGCCGTGCAAACTGCAGCCGTGCCTAGATGGCACTGATGAGTATAGAAATATACTTGCCAGTGCCATCTAGGGGCACTAGTGCTGTGTGAATGGCATCTGTCCCTAGATGGCACTGGCAAGTATATTTCTATACTCATCAGCGCCATCTAGGGATGTATGCCATTCGGGCAGCACTAGTGCCCCTAGATGACCCTGACAATTATATTTCTATACTTATCAGCGCCATCTAGGGATGTATGCCATTCGGGCAGCACTAGTGCCCCTAGATGACCCTGACAATTATATTTCTATACTTATCAGCGCCATCTAGGGATGTATGCCATTCGGGCAGCACTAGTGCCCCTAGATGACCCTGACAATTATATTTCTATACTTATCAGCGCCATCTAGGGATGTATGCCATTCGGGCAGCACTAGTGCCCCTAGATGGCGCTGATGAGATAGGAAATATACTTGTATGCTCCAACTAGGGGCACTAGTGCTGTCCGAATGGCATACATCCCTAGATGGCGCTGATGAGATAGGAAATATACTTGTCAGCGCCAACTAGAGGCACTAGTGGCGGGCGAACGGGATCCGCCCCTTGATGGCGCTGATGAGTATAGGAAATATAATTGTCAGTGTCATCTAGGGGCACTAGTGCTGTGTGAATGGCATCTGTCCCTAGATGGCACTGATGAGTATAGGAAATATATTTGTCAGCGCCATCTAGGGGCACTAGTGTCATGCGAACGGGATCCGTCCCTAAGTGGCGCTGATGAGCATAGGAAGTATATTTGTCAGAGCCACCTAGGGGCACTAATGCCGTGTGAATGGCACCCATCCAGCAAAGTTTTATACATTAAATATATCTGTATTGCCCAAAGTCTATTGTAGCTTTCTACAAATGCTGTTAAAATGCTTTTACTGGTACCTGAGGTAGTAGAATTACACTGATAAGTGAGGTTGTAGTATTACACTGATAACTGAGGTTGTAGTATTACTCTGATAACGGAGGTTGTAGTATTACACTGGTACCTGAGGTTGTAGTATTACACTGATAACTGAGGTTGTAGTATTACACTGATAAGTGAAGTTGTAGTATTACTCTGATAACAGAGGTTGTAGTATTACTCTGATAACTGAGGTTGTAGTATTACACTGATAACTGAGGTTGTAGTATTACTGATAAGTGAGGTTGTAGCATTATACTGATAACTGAGGTTGTAGTATTACTGATAAGTGAGGTTGTAGTATTACACTGATAACTGAGGTTGTAGCATTACAATGATAACTGAGGTTGTAGTATTACTCTGATAACTGAGGTTGTAGTATTACACTGGTACCTGAGGTAGTAGTATTACACTGATAACTGAGGTTGTAGTATTACTGATAAGTGAGGTTGTAGCATTATACTGATAACTGAGGTTGTAGCATTATACTGATAACTGAGGTTGTATTATTACACTGATAACTGAGGTTGTAGTACTACACTGATAACTGAGGTTGTAGTATTACACTGATAACTGAGGTTGTAGTATTACACGGATAACTGAGGCTGTAGTATTACACTGATAATGGAGGTTGTAGTATTACACTGATAACTGAGGTTCTAGTATTACACTGGTACCTGAGGTTGTAGTATTACACTGAT